AAAGGCGGTTGGGTTCTTTAATGCTGCCAAAACTGCCTAAGTGGGATAATTAATTCCCAACAAACTGACGGAGATTCCCGAATACAACTCACGGTTTCTGTTCGTAAATGCCGAAAACAGAACCGCCACACCACAAATGTCAGTTAGTTGTGAGTAACCTGGTCTACATTTTTTCTGCAAACCACAACAATTCGAGGAACGTCTGCGGTGTTGCGGTGAGGCGCTTCCCTGTGGCATCTTCTACTCCGGAGTGTGGAGAACTTTTATCGGGTATCTGGTAGAGCTGGGCGAAGAATCCCTTCTGGAACCGATTCCCACGATTAATGCAGAAGAAAAGTTCCGACTCCTTTTTACGTAAACCAACAGTTATCAGCTACTTCAATCAGTAAAATCTTTTTTTAAAAAGAGTTTATTGTTGGAAAATAAAAGTAGTTGGTTTGTAATCTTCCGAAATCAAGGTCATCCCAAATCTTGAAGATGTTTTGAGCCAAACAGGTAACCACCGGAAGAAATTATATCATTAGAAAGTAAGTAATTGGGTTTGGAGTCGATTCCTACGATTCCTAGCTTTCAATAATCGCGAACCTACCCGCCCAGCTCTAGTATCTGGGTCTTTCTGCTACTGCTGGGATGTACGCTGACAAAACGCCCTTTTCTTATACACGGCAGTTTCGAGAAGTCGACGATTTTCGGTTTTCTTATTATACTATCTGTTGAGCACAGAGAATTACGTTCTCTTCAGGGTGTTAGATCAACCGTTGATGTAGCCTTTTAAAAAAAGTTTTAGTAGAGATTTTACGGCACTCGCAACTGCATAAGGTCGTATGAGCGCCAGAAGATTAGAGATGTTACAAGAGAGTAACAAACATAAAAAAAGGAGAAGGGGAGATAAGGAAGATACATATTTGATAGGAAAGCAGAAGCAAACCACACCAGAGCACCCGCAACCACCCACATATAGCCTTTACTGTGCAAAATAGTTTAGATATTAGAAGACAACCGAAAATCGTCAATTTCTGTAAATTGCTGTGAATAATTTTTTAAAAGGCGTTTTGTCAGCGTACGGCAGTGGGAAGTTGTACCCCTTTCAGCCCGAGTAGGTCCTGACAGTAGTCATGGTTGGAAACCCATCTTCTAAATGATTTAAATTGTGTCGATGGAAGCGTAAAAACAGCGGCACTAACTGGGGGGAAAATCCAAAGTTCGGTACTGATGCATAGCGTACTTTACTCCACTACTTAGTAGGGACTTCCATGTACTGATGACAAGCGGATTAAGGAAAGAACTGAAAGGCTGAGGAGACGGTGCTCTTTTTGTTTTTTTGTTTTTTGTTTTTTGGTAGAGATTTTTACGGCGCTCGCAACTGCAT